AGTTTGCGGAGACTGTGTAAACTGATGATTCGCATGAATGAGTGTCGTCAAACCACCAATTCAACCACAATTCTACTGTTATAGGAAAGCATATGTGCCAGATTAAATGGGTTGATTTTAAGCGTCAAGTATAGAGTAAATTTTTTGGCTCTCCTATGTACAGTTAAATGACTGATAGTCTTTTAAGGTCCATGTTTTGGCCGTGGAGTAGGTAGCTAGTGATGTTACTATCAGTATACCCTAATATGTAGTAGGTATATTTAATGTTTATAGGTGCGGTCTTATTATTATTAACTTTTATTATATTGATGGTAGTATTTGGAAGTGGACAAGTTACATATAGATTGGGGAATGTGTATTTTTTACTAGGTGACAGGAGCTTACATTTTTCCAATAAAATTAGTAGTAAGGTATTGTTAATGCTTTTATGTTGTAGGATACTTTCCTTAGGTTATTCTTTTCATTATATAGGTAGCTATAGAGGGGGAAAGATGTTAGCAGTCGGGATGCTAGTATTTAGTATTGTAATGATGATTCTTGTGTTTAGTTACAAGATGATTTTGACTTTAGTAATGTGAGAATATCTTGGGTTAGTTAGGTTTTTATTAATATTATATTATGGGACGTGTAGTTCATATGGAGGCGGGGTAATAATATTAGTTTCTTCTCGGTTTGGTGATGTAGCTTTGTTTTTTTTTTTTTAATAAGATTTTATATTACAGGGACTGGTAGTTCATTCCTGATTTCATTATGCATATTGTTAGTGGTTTCTATCAAGAGAGCTTTATTTCCCTTTTCAAGCTGACTGTTAGAAGCGATGCGTGCTCCAACTTCGATTTATTCTTTAGTACATTCTTCTACGTTAATGACTGCTGGTGTATGATTTTATCTAGAATATAGGCGATTTGTAGATTACTTTAGTTGATGTAGATTATTGTATAGTTTTAGAGTAACTTGTCCTTTGTTAACAATATTAATTAGGGGGTATATATATGCTTTAACTTGTAACTATATAAAACAGTTAATAGCTTTATCTACTTGTAGTAAAATTTCATGAGTTGTTAAATGAATATCATTTAGCAATAATTCAATTAGTAAGTCATGGATTGAGCAAGTGTTTTTAATTTTTTTATTTTAGTCGGTGATTATATTTTCCGTAATGTAAGTGGACAGCATATAAATCAGGTGATGGTGAGTTGTTTTTGTTTTTTTTATTTTTAGGTTGTTTACATGAATTTATCTATTTGTTTTACACTTTTAAATGATCTTTCTGGGTTTCTTTTTTTTGTTTGTTTATACTTTAGTAAGCATGGTTTTATTGTTAGAGTTAATGGGTATAAAGTGTTTAATGTATGTTTTGTCTTTATTATAATATTATGTATATTGTTATCAGTAATTTATAGTTTGATGAGTATAGAATGAGGGAAAGTAAATAAGAGTTCATTAATTTTATTCCATAAGTTTGTATTTGCGCCTTTTTAAGTTCAATTATAAATTTAAGTTATTTGTTTAGATTAATAGTAGATTGTATTGATTTGTTGTGTTATCAATTTTTATAAAATTATTAATAGTTTACTTTATAGAGTTAAATTATTTGCATAGTTGAAATTATGAGTCAATTGAAGCTAGACCACCATCGAAAATCTGGAAGCACTGTGTTGACGGCCGTTTCGTTCTATTATGGGACTCGTCAGTAGTGTGCATCCACGAACCCGCTCTCGCGAGCGAGATTCAAACCCAGGATTTACTAGTCTCGAGCCGAAGCCCTTAACCGATAGACCACTGAGCTGGCATTCAATGGTGTTAATGTCTAACTTCGACCAATCCACGAATACTATTAAGTTCATTAAATCTCAAAAAAAAAATTAACACTAACTATTCGAATAAAACTATTAACTTATTCATATCATCAAATTTACTAAATTTATTCATTTTAAAATAAACCAACTACATAATTTAGCCACTAGTGCTCACTAGTGACTGACTTCAAGAGATATTTCCTTGAGTTCTAGTGGGAAGCAGTGGCCAGTGGAGTTCTACCAGGTCTGTTGTAGAGATATCATCTCACTGAAGACAATTAGTGAACGGTCGCTCAAAATCGTGGATTGATTGAAGTTAGACATGAACACCGTTGGATACCGGCTCAGTGGTATATCGGTTAAATGGTCTGGTGCGAGACTGGTAAATCCTGGGTTCGAATCTCGCTCGCGAGAGCGGGTTCATGGATGCACACTACTGACGAATCCCATAATAGGACGAAACGGCCGTCAACACAGTGCTTCCAGATTTTCGATGATGGTCTAGCTTCAATTGACTTATGATCTTAACTATCAAAAAAATTACTAAATCTCCACAAAAAACCCCCCCTTGTGTTAATAGTATTTCATTGAGAAGTTACTTTATTAAATTACTTGTTCAAAATTGTTAGGGGAAATCAGTTTCTGATTGGTGTATAGGCTTAATAGTGTTAATTTTAAGTGTATTCATATTAGTAGTAATAACGTTTAGTATATAAAGGTAGTTAAACTAAATGTAGTAGATATAGTGGGTTTAATAGTTTTATAATGATAATATAAATAAATAGACATTCTTTCCATGTAATTGATGTTTAGTTTTATGAATTCATTTGTTATGCTTATTATGTTATGTATGTGAGTTTACTTATTTCGTCGGTATATATATTAAGATATTTATATATATTATGGAAGAGTTGTAGAATAACGTTTTAATTATTCTTGATTATTCCACTTAGTGGACGAATAGATAAAGTGATAACGTTTGATGTGAGGTTGCTGGGTTCGAATCCCAGAGTGAATATCAACTCTGAGATGCAAGGTATATCCAGTTGACGAGTTACAAATAGGATGAAATGTACGTCTTGAATTTCACTGCTAGTCTTTTAGATTAAGTTTAAATTTACAATTTATAATGTTGGAAATCTATTAATATTAGATAATTAGGGTAGATTAGTTAATAATAAAGAAGATAATAGAGTTGAGATCATGAGTCAATTGAAGCTAGACTACCATGGAAAACCTGGAAGCACTGAACGGCCGTTTCGTCCTATTATGGGACTCCTCAGCAGTGCGCGTCCACGAACCCACTCTCGCGGGATTCGAACCCAGGACTTACCAGTTTCGAGCCGAAGCCCTTAACCGATAGACCACTGAGCTGGCATCCAACGGTGTTAATTTCTAACTTCAACTGATTCACGAAATTGAGCAACCATTCACCAATGTCATCAGTGAGTTCCTATCTCACAACAGACCTGGTTGAACTCCACCGGTTACTGCTTCTCACTAGAACTCCAGGAAATACCTCAAGGAGTCAGTCACTAGTGAGCACCTGATTATTATCAGAAGGGGTTTTGTGGAGATTTTAGTATTTTTATAGAGTCCCATAATAGGACGAAACGGCCGTCCAGTGCTTCCAGGTTTTCCATGGTAGTCTAGCTTCAATTGACTCATGATCTCAACTCTATAAAAATACTAAAATCTCCACAAAACCCCTTCTGATAAAGAAGATAATAGTTAATAAATTAGTACATTTCCCTACATTATTAAAAGACTAAAATATTATTAATGTATTAGTTTTGTTTTAAAAATTTCTATGGTAGTTCAAATAGTGAGATCGGGGGGGGGGTAATACTATTGATGTTTTATAATTCAGTTAATAAATTTAGATTCTTAACGTGAACTGATAATAGATTATTTTCTTGATTTGTTAGTTATCTTCATATTTCATGAGTAAGAATACTGTTCTTTTTAATGTATATTCATATAAGATGTAGATTGTATTACAGTAGGTATAAAAATATAGCTATATGGAGTTCTGGATTTTTGTTATATCTGTTAGTTATGGTTAAAGCTGTTATGACTCGTAAGTTGAACGATTTATTCGGATACTAGCTATTCGGATAACCCCAGGCTAGCACTACTCAGCGACTTGGAAGACAAGAGAGAAGACACGAGTATCAGAGAAGCACTTTACTACAAGGTTCAATTATGTACAGAAAAACAGGGGTTTTATAGTAGCTAAAAGACCTTGAGATCCCATAGTAACAGTATGTTAACAGCCAATCAGGACCTTGTTATTTTAGTAGCAAAGCTTCTAACTAATCGCTGATTGGTTGGTCTCTTTATGAGCCTTTCTGGAGGCTCTGATAGAGTTTATTGTAAGCCGATCTAACAAAGCTATTTTAGGATATATTTTGCCTTTGACATCAAATATCTTACTGAGCTGTTACTGTATTAACTTCTGTGATTTTAACGGTTCCTATTATTGGTTCTGTTATAAACGTAAGTATGCCGTCGCTAATTGTTATAAACGTAGAGGATACTAGTTATAAATGGATGAGTTTCTTGTTGTAACAGTCTTTTTATTTATTACACGTATATGGGACATTAATTTACCTTAGACGAATATCTACACTAGATTCCCACCCAATGTCTATTCTACAGGACTTCAACAGAACTCACATCAACAACACAAGATTAGCCTGACTATAATGCCAATATATATATATATATCCACACCAAAATCCGACATAAAGAATAGTCAATCAATAAGTATCGAACATCAAGGAACAGTCAAGAAGTCTATACATAATAAGGAAAGGGAAATATATATATATAACACATAACATCTGTCATCCCCTCTAATGTCTGACTGATCGAGACAACTAATCACTGTTATTCTCGCCCACACTGGTTCATTATTGTATACTTATATTATTGATGGATACTAGATTACTGTTACTAAAACTTTATTACGATTTTTTTTTTCTGATGCATGTTATTTTAAGTATAGTGATATTGATATTACTCCTTGTTCATATATACTACTTACATTCTTCTGTTTCTAATATCCTTCTATATATTAATAATAGATATACCGATTGTGTATATTTTCACAAGTATTATTCTATAAAGGATATATTTATAATCATTAAAGTTTTTGTAGTTTTAATGCTATGCATATTTATGGTTCCGCAACATGTATTACATTATAAATCCTTTTATTAAGGTTAAATATTTAATTACCCCGGAAAATATAAAATCGGATTGATATTTTGTTGTTGTTCTTCTTCTTCTTGTTGTTGTTCTTCTTGTTGTTCTTGTTGTTGTTGTTGTTGTTGTCGTCGTTGTTGTTGTTGTTGTCGTTGTTGTTGTTCTTGTTGTTGTCGTTGTTGTTGTTGTTGTCGTTGTTGTTGTTGTTGTCGTTGTTGTTGTTGTTGTTGTCGTTGTTGTTGTTCTTGTTGTTGTCGTTGTTGTTGTTGTTGTCGTTGTTGTTGTTGTTGTTGTCGTTGTTGTTGTTCTTGTTGTTGTTGTCGTTGTTGTTGTTGTTGTTGTCGTTGTTGTTGTTCTTGTTGTTGTCGTTGTTGTTGTTGTTGTCGTTGTTGTTGTTGTTGTTGTCGTTGTTGTTGTTCTTGTTGTTGTCGTTGTTGTTGTTGTTGTCGTTGTTGTTGTTGTTGTCGTTGTTGTTGTTGTTGTCGTTGTTGTTGTTCTTGTTGTTGTCGTTGTTGTTGTTGTTGTTGTTGTTGTCGTTGTTGTTGTTGTTGTCGTTGTTGTTGTTCTTGTTGTTGTCGTTGTTGTTGTTCTTGTTGTTGTCGTTGTTGTTATTCTTGTTGTTGTCGTTGTTGTTGTTGTTGTTGTTGTTGTTGTTGTCGTTGTTGTTGTTGTTGTCGTTGTTGTTGTTCTTGTTGTTGTCGTTGTTGTTGTTGTTGTCGTTGTTGTTGTTGTTGTCGTTGTTGTTGTTGTTGTTGTTGTTGTTGTTGTTGTTGTTGTTGTTGTTGTTGTTGTTATACTATGCTATGCTTCGCTCGGTTAACTTAGGTAGCTTACTGATTATTTTAATCTTTTTATTTGTTTTCTAATTATCAAGAAATAAAGTAAGCTGTGTAATGTCATCAATGTAGTGATGGATTATTTATACTTGATTATCTGAGTTTTTAAATGATACTATTTTTTTTTAATTATTATTAGCTTTATTCGATATTATATTTTTGGTAGAATATGGAATTCTCAGCACAAAGTACCTCAACAAGTTTTCGTTTCTTACTTCTTCGTCCATCCTGACGATAAATATTGAGTGATCGCAGGTTAGAAGTTGGCAGCTCAGTCAATCGACATCTGGATAGTGTACATTCTTCTCGCTGCATATTGCCAGCAACCACGATATGTCTAATTAGGCTTTCTGTAACCTTTACAGTGAAAGGTTTTACACTTTTCAGAAACGCACCTGAATAGGTTGTGCGATTAATAAGCATAATGATGTATTAAAACAAACGTAATCAGATAACTTGTTGAAATATCTAGATGACAGGAACAGGTAGCCCAGATGTTTAAACAGGCCGCCAAAGATAGGTACTATTAGTAGTCATTATAGATTAAGTTTTTATACAAATGAATTTAATTAACGTACTATTATATATAGAAGAATGATTAGAGTAGTAATAAGTTCAATTTTTATGTTGCTTTGTTCTCTGAGCTGGATGGTTTGGTCATGGAGCTTTCATCGTCCTTCTGAACGACATCATCAGCACAAACTTCGGGTAGAAGTGAAGTGTTTGAATTTCTCCACATGTGATTCACAGCTTGTCCTCTGCACTTCGATGTCGTTCAGAAGGACGATGAAAGCTCCACGACCAAACCATCCAGCTCAGAGAACAAACCAACATAAAAATCATCCACCTGAGCTACAAATCTTCTCCACCATCTCAATAAGTTCAATTGTTAGAAAACTTTTATTGTTTTGGTTTCTTTTTTATTTTAAAAAATATTCAATTATTAGTCCTTTATATTTATTAATTAAGATAAGTTTATATGTTTAGCATTATATTACTAACTGGTATATAACTAAAGTAGTATACATTTATTAATTGGTAATTCTTTTAATTGATTATAAGTAAAGAAAGGTTTTAAAGTATTATATTGAGGTAGTTGAAATAGTGAATTAGAATTTGTTTTATTTTATAATGATTGTTATGTTTTGTACCAAAATTCATTTAATTCTTTTTCATAGATGATTACCAATAGTTCAAGGTGAAACTAGTTGCCCTATCAAAGTGATATTGAGTGGATACATAATGAAGTTAAGTATAATAGGTGTACTTTGGATATATAGAAGATGATTATTAAATACTAGTATGTTATATATAGCTATATTTATTATTATTATGATTAGATTGATATTTATATTAATTATAGAAGGGGTTTTGTGGAGATTTAGTATTTATCATTGTTGAAATCGTGAGTCAATTGAAGCTAGACCACCATGGAAAACCTGGAAACACTGGACGGCCGTTTCGTTTATATGTTGAGCCTACAATTAGGTTGATTCTAAGCGTTGTTTAGCTGTATTAAGCTTAATACATATAATAGTGAGAGTTATAGTATTGCTTTTCGGTGAGTATAATACAGATTTGGTAAGTTTATTATATCTCTTTGGTCATGGATTTTCTGTGAGTGCAATGTTTATTTTAATATCATGAGGTTATAAATGTGGATTGTCCCGTAGTTGGTTAGTCTTATCAACTATCTATTGTTTAGTTACTTTTATACAGATATTAAAGATTAGTATATTGATGAGTGTGTCAAGGTTTCCTCTAACTTTACAGTTTTTTTCGGGAAGTAATTATAGCTATTATTAGTCTATTAAGACAAGATTTTGTATTGATTTTTGCAGTTATAATAGTTTTATTTGACCGGTGATTAATCGGACTAATGGTATTAGATTTAGTAATAAATTCATTACTAGACAACAAGAGTATAGTAGTGATGGATGCTAAAGGTTTACTTATTTATGTGATTTATTTTATACTTGTAGAACTATTAATGTTTATTGTACTGTAAGTTTATCGTCACAGGTATCAGACTATATACAGAAAAACTAGGTGTTTAGCATGTTTCATTTTGGTTGAAGTGAGGCCTTGTGGGGCCAGTTTTAATTCAGGTGTGTCGAATGTTGTGAACTATCAGAATATAAATTTTATGAAGAAAATTATATGAGTAACAGTTTACTAGCCTTAACTATAAAAATATGCTTTTTTATACTAATAATAAGATTAGTAATGCTTTATGTATGAGGTTTCAGTGTTTCTTTAGATCATTATGTTAGGATAAAAGAGTGATATAGTAAATTTGAGTGTGGATTTCTCGGGCATGAATAAAAAGAGAACTTTTTTAAATCTTCCTGTTGATCTACCCTCATCCACAACGTGTTGGGGACTATTGAACATAGGAAATTGTTTTCGCCTCATCACGAATAGTTCTCCACTGTAAACAGTCTAGGAAGACACATGTTTTCGTAGAGTTTTTTCGAGAACTATTCACATACCTTCATTCAATATTGACACAATAACGTAACTTACCCAAACGTGAAGCGAATTCATCTTGACAACATGAGGAAAGAAGTGAATAGTGATTACATTTATGAAGTTATTATTTAAAATGATACGATGGTTTGTAAAATAACCAGGTCTATCAACTGTAATACTGTTCTCTTAACCGAATAGTACAGTCGAATGAATGTGTGCAGTTTTGAGTTGTAATCAAACAAGATTTAAGTGCCGAACTCTGTGAAGAAACTCTTTCAACAAGTTAATGTAAAATGTGCGGTTTATGTTTCCAAATGTTCCCCTCATCCGAGTAAAAAATGTGCAAACTTAATCTACTGTAAAACAGATTGTACAGGCATTTTGCGATGTCTTCTATTCCAACAAACGTATATATAGATACATATATTTGTTACTTACTAAGGCAATCGAAAAAAGAGGCTTTAATAAATGAAGAAAAAAGGAACAGTGATTACAGTGGTTGCACAATATGAGTATCAAAATATTAGATTTTCTGCAAAACAACAAATACTTTGTCTGAATTATTGCACTGTGAAGTCAATGATACTATAGAGTGGATACGATTTTGAGTAACAATAAGATGCGTTTAGGAATCTGTACTGAGTGAAGCACCTCGTTCACCAAATTGATGGTGTGTGTGGTTCATGATTGAAAAGTCCCGATCGACAGAGAGAACAAGAGAATATCAATCAACTAAATAACAAACTGTACAGACCTTTGAGGATGTCTGTCGTCAAATGAAACACTCCACTGTACTACACTAAGTGTTTTTATGATTCGATAAGAATTATTCTCATATTACGATGGGTGTAGACATGGTTTCGAAATTTGTGAAACAATAACAGTTTGTGTTGTGTACATTTAGACATTCGCAATTCAAATAAAACAGCATAATGTTCGTTATACATTGGGATTAACAGTGACAATATAGGTGGCTCAAATAAACACACACTGAACAGACATTCCCATTGTAATCCACACTGGTTTTTCACAGGTGTATTTTGTGTATGAAGTTCTATCGCCCTGAACAGTTTTATGAGCACAGCTTAATCTTTCAATGTCATTCTCATGCATTACAGTAAATTGAAAAATGCATCATCGAGTGTTTCAATGTTGATGTAGAATTAGCTAAAGAAAGCTAATTATTGATGGCTTTAATGTACATGAATAGTCAATGAATACAACTTACACAAGGAATTATGCGATCCATCTGCTAATGATTTGAGAATGAGATAACAAGAATTAGTATTAGCACTATTATCATTTGTGGAACTGTGTAAGTGTGTGTGCAGACAGCACAGAATACCTGACGTTATGGAAATAATGACGTGGATTTGCCCTACAGGTCTATATTTTATGAATAGTTGTAATAGGCCTCGTACAAGCTACATTCTGTCATGAACCAATTCCACATCAATTATACGTTTTTTCTGTGATTCCTGTGATTCCGGAATTTACACACAGTTTAGGAAATTGTATCTTATATCTTGGGACTTCCAGTCACATTCGAAGCTATTAAAAGGAGCTTGTGAGAAAGACAACATGTTGAAGTTTGTTCGCCGCTGCATACTCAACAAGTGGCCTTTGTCTAGACTACATGGAGAACTCTTGCAATTTGTTCCGTCGACGAGACTCATTGACAATTGTAGATTCCTGCATCATGTTTGGCCACCGTATCGTTATCCACAGAAATCTTCGAAACCAAGTCCTAAAGCAGTTCCACAGAGGACACCCTGGGACCAGGCAGATATATCCATCGGTCCAAGTTGCCATACATCATTAGCACAACAAGATGAACACCAAATTCATAAAAGTAGTTACTTCTATGTTATTAAATATATAAAAGAAAAATTGTATATAAGGATATATATAGTACAGGAAGAAAGGAAGATATAAAGCAATTTCAATTTCAATTTCATAGTTTAAGGGAAGACAAAGAGTGCATAAACTGTATACAATGTAAAATTGGTAAATTGCAGCATAAAAAGAAAGTAAATTTAAATTCACCGACAATCAAATAATCTTCATTGAATGATGATATTCATAGAAATAAAAGCCAACAAAATTCAACTAACTTATTTATTTATAGGGAAAGCAATATGAAGAAAAAAGTATAAAAAAGGAAAAGGTTTACTATATCCAAACTTTGAGAGCAAAACTAACCAAACGACAACGACAAAGTCACTGGAAAGCTTTATTGCAAAAGTCAATGGTAAATGATGCATGAGTCCACACAAACACACACGCACACACATGCATATATACTCGAAATTCCAAAAACCAAATAGCATTTTTTGTCCTACAATATCCACTAATCTTTAACATAATTCATGAAATAGGATGGTAGAAATTCAATAAAGAATATCAGTTCGATTTTCTATCAAGAAAAAAGGAGAGAGAAAAGAACTTTGACTTACCAATAGACTAATTCGTCATAAATAACTAATGCCAAGAGTATGATAGATAACAGATAAACAGCGGAATCACGTACTAATGGCCACCAATTAAGATAAATCACCTATGAAGTAAACAAGGACAACAGAACAATACAAACTGGTTTCGGAAAGAAACGAGAGATATCGAAATAAATGGTAAGAAAGAAAGAACTCAGTTATGAAATATAAATGAAAACGAGAATGCTATGATTGAAGTAAGTCAATCAAAAACGAATAGTCCAATAACTCGGATAGATTTAATTATAACAAAAGTCTTCCTTAACAAAAATGTTGAAATTATTCGTGTTATGTATTTGTTTGCTTTTTCTGAAAGTAAATCGTTGAATAGAATGAAAACAGAATGGAAAGAAACTTGAAAACACGTATTCAATACAATGATCAAACATTTGGCTCGATATTGGAGAAATTATGAACCCTATAGGTCTTGAAACTAGCTAGTCTAGTGTTAAATATGTGAAATTCAATCTGCACATGGTCACATATAAGCTACAATATGACAAGCTTTATTGGAGACCGACTTCTACTTCAATACCAAAGATCGCATTATATATCCACTGTTTTTTTACCTTTTGATGTCATATATGTTTTATCAAGTATACCGCTTATATCGCATTAAGTAATTCAAGTAAATGTAAATGCATAAGACAATACAATACCAAAGTTACCAGTAGAATAGAGCAACAAATACATTAAATAATACGAATGTAACACAGAAGAGCATCTTGGTGGAAGCCGAAAAGAAATAGTCATGATAACAACCAACTAACCAATTTCATTTGAATGATAGGATAACTAACCGGTATAAATCGAATAAAGGGACAATACTCAATAGTATTAGCTTGATGTCTAACATTTATCATCAATCACATACATGTCATATTTATAATGCAATTAAAATGAACCAAACGCACAAAAAAGTAATTATCAGTACACGTTAAATATAAAAAGATAGTACCTGTTTTGCGAATAGCGCACTAACACTGACAACCAACATTATGTTGAAGTCAGCAGAACCCACAACAGCTCCAAGGCCGATATCATCCTGTCGAAAGTATTTTTCAAAAACAAACAAGGATAAACTGTATTATGTAAACCAATCTATATATCTAGACAAGGTGAGGATACGGACTTACCCTCGACCAAGTGATGCTTGAGATGAATAGTAAATGATGTGTTGACTTAGTTATGGGAACAAAAACTAAGGAAAAATCTACCCAAAACGACAAAAGAAACAACGCGAACTTTATTAGGACTAGAGTAACCCAAAACAATAGAGTGGACATATATGCACTTACCGATTATAGGTTATTAGTAGTTACATGTATGATTTGACCACAAGTTATATCATAAAATTTATGTCGTTATGAATTGCTAACCTACAATCACCACTAAGTAGTTGAAATTGTGAGATGAACTGTCATACAAACTGAGTTCCTAATATATTAACAAGACTTCTAAAAAACCTTAATCTCAAGAACTATGCTAGGGATACACTATGAAATCACAGATTATATCACTTGACTTACAAGAAACTACTCGTCTAGTAGCTGATGCACAGTGAGATAAAAATTGTAATTAACATGCACAAAACTCTGAAATATGGTGTTACCAAATTAAACGAATATCCAGGAAATTCGTAAGCACTGAACTCATGTAATCAATCAACCAGAATCTTTTTCTGAATAACATATTCGCAACTTGTTACCCTGATGCAAGTTTGTATAAATTGACATGAAAAAAGCAGCTACAGAGAAAAGTGAAAAATAATTCTTGTTTTAATGCACTTTCACAATTTTTTAAACAATTAGTCAAAGTAACACGTTTAGACTCTATGAACTATGCACCGAATCAAATATATTTCTTAAGATTTCTTGTTAATTCTTGTTAAAATCACAACTTTTCAAAAACAGCTAGATGAAGTTCATAAGGTATGTTTCACCATTAAAGACACATACACTCCTATAACTCACTTTTGCATTAAATACTCCAACCAAGGTAGTTGCCAACTCGGGAGCAGAACTTCCAGCAGCCATAAACGTTGCTCCAGCGACATCAGGCTGAAGGTGCAACACTATAAAGTACAGGTAAAGTGAAAAATTAAACAAACCTTTACAAATTCTCTCCAGACAAGGAATGAAGTAGTCATCACAAAGTAATGCCAGACCGATGAACATATAAATTGAGACAACCAGATGGATTATAACGGCTCCATATAGCCTTTGGGACTGCGTAAAAATGTCCCGTGGAAAATTTTCGATTGCTAAAGGCGTGTGGGTGTGGACGCACAACTTGTATTCCCAACAACTTCCTGTTCATCCAAGAACCTCTTTCGCCATTTTGGTCAACTGATGAATCAAAAGTTACGGTTGGATAAAATAAATGCTTTTCATAGTTCAGGGAGCTTGAACTAGCTGCACGGAAATAACGTGAACCAATTTTTGTCACAATGAACACAAAATACAATCCCAAGAAAAGCAATTCAGTTTCAGTTTCAGTTTCAGTTTGGAAAGGACAGGAGGCTTGGTGGCCTGTGTTAGTCCTGGCAATGATGGTCTCTCAGCTGATCCAACTTTCTTTTGAAGGAGTCGACGGATGGAGCCTCAACCACGTGCTGAGGTAATGAATTCCACTCGTTGATTATTCGATGGGAAAGTCGGTAATCAGCTGACAAGTAATTCGTTCTGGGCTTGTGAACTTTTTTGGAGTGTCCTCGTAGATTTTCTGTTTTGGAAGACAAGAAAAATGAGGGCATATCAGGTGCAAATTTGTCATTTAGCAATTTGAAAACTATAATCAAGTCACCTCTGATTCTTTTATATGACAGCGGGAATAGGTTTAGCTTGGTCAGTCTAGTACCATACGGGAGCTTCGCTATTCCGGGAATCAGCCTAGTTGCTGTTCTCTGAACTCTTTCCAAGAGTTCACTGTCTTTTTTTAGGCAGGGGTTAGCTGCTTGTATACAGTACTCAAGTTTAGGGCGTACGAACACTGTATACAAAGTCAGAAACGTTGTAGCGTCAAGATGCCTAAAAGCCCTGCGTATGGACCATAAAGTCCTAAAACCTTTGGCGGCTATTGCATGGCAGTGTGCAGTAGTCTTTAAGTCTTGACTAACGATGACGCCTAAGTCATTGTGTGCCTGAACAATAGGTAACTCAGTGTTATTCATCGTGTATGTATCTGTACCCTGATGGACAATATGCATCACAATACACTTGGAAGTGTTTATCGGCAATTGCCAGGTTTGGGACCATTCAGATAATCTCTCCAGGTCATTTTGAAGTTCTAAGCTATCGCTCTTGCTTTGTATCGCTCTCCATATCTTGACATCATCAGCATAGAGTAAGACCGATGACGATAGTAGACGAGGGAGATCATTTACGTACAGGAGGAATAACACTGGCCCCAAAACTGTACCTTGGGGGACTCCACTAAGCACAGTTTCCCAGCTAGACAACTTGGAGTTCACCCTTACTCTTTGTTGACGCCCAACTAGGAAGTCTTTTATCCACATCAATAGATTGCCTCCAATCCCGACATTCCTTAGCTTATATAACAGCCGGTTATGCGGAACTTTGTCAAAGGCTTTGCTGAAATCGATGTAAGCTACGTCTATAGGTAATTTTTGGTCCTTAAGAGCGCACCAGCTTTCACGAGCGACTAATAAGTTTGTGAGACAAGAGTAACCTGTTCTAAAACCATGCTGCTTTTCGGAGAGGATCCGGTTTTCATCGAGATACTTTAACAGTTCCTTCCTAATAATCTTTTCTAAGATTTTAACAACCACACTAGTTAGGCTAATTGGTCGGTAATTCTCGGGCTTATGTTTTGTACCTGTTTTGAAGACTGGACTTACTATGGCGTTCTTCCAGTCTTTTGGTAGACGACCCTGGGTTACGGATAGATTAAAACATACACTTAAAGGGTTCGCAACAAAGTTAGCTAATTCCTTTAGTAACCTAGGATGCAGTTCATCGGGTCCAGTGGATTTACCTATGTCAAGCTTAACTAGCAGACCAAAAACATCGAGTTCTTCAATGGTTACGCTGTCCAGTGCTTGTGTGGGTGGATTTTCATGGACTGGTGAGAAGGGTGTTTCTATGGTGTATACATCGCTAAAGTATTTAGAGAATACTTGAGCTTTGCCAAAGTCATCCTCCACTAGTGATGTGGCAGTACTGTCTCCCCATGATGAGGGAACATTTCTTCTCCTTTTTGTCCTTTGGTTTATATACGAATACAAGCGTTTAGGGCATTCTATGGATTCCCTTACGATTTTCTCTTCGTACAGCTTTCTGGCCTTACGGAGGGTCGAGGCACAGGTATTTCGAGCCTTTTGATACTGAGATTTCGCCTCGTCAGTCCCCAGTAACCTAAATCTGTCCCACATTTTCCTTCTTTTACGGAGAAGGATGCGAACCTCCCTACTGAACCACGGTGGGGAGTTTCTCGGTCTCTTAGGTGTAGTCCAAGGGATGTGGGGGGCGGTAACTTTTAAGTATAAATTCCGGAATACGTCCCAAGCCGTTTCGATTGATGACTCTGGATCTAATTTCCAATCTACTAATGATGCTGATTTCATGATGTCTGCTATGTTTGCTTTCCAGACGTTAGGTCTGGATTGAGCTGAAGCGTACTCGTGATCGACAGTTATATGGAAGTCAAAGTTTAAAACTGCATGATCACTTTTGCCTAGGGGTGGCATGTAATCCAGGTTTGCAACATCATCCTCATAATGAGTCAATATAAGATCTAGTAAGGATGATGCAGAACCCGGGTCGTACCTAGTTGCTTCCTTCACGTGTTGCACTAGAGCACAAGTGATTATCGCATCAACTAGTTCCTGTTCGAAGGAGTTTGCTGACGATTCAGTCCGAAGATTTCCCCAGTCCACCATGGGTGCATTGAAGTCCCCTAAGATTAGACATCGATCACTTCGTGATAAAGTGTTGAGACTGCTTAGCAGGACCTCGTTTGCCTCACAGCTTGGACTGCGATAGATCAAACTAAGTAGTAACTCTTGTCCCCTGCATTTCAGGCGGCAGCAAACTAATTCATACGTCCCACTCTCATGGGATACACCGTCGATAATGGTGAATGGAATAGCATTCTTAATGAAGAGAGCTACTCCCCCTCCTTTACGCGTTTGTATTCTATCGGCCCTTACCAATGTAAAACCCTCGAAATCAAGTTCCCTACTATCTATAGACGGCGTCAGCCATGTTTCTGTGACTGCGATTATGTCTGGCCTAGTTGAGTCATTCTGTACACCTAGTTTCGGTAGCTTATTTAGTAAGCTCCGGGCGTTGGTATAACAGATCCGAAGCCTATTTAGGTGGCCTCGTGCTTCACCCAGAGTGGCTTCGGCATCATCCTCTGTCGAAGCCTCACAACCCGAAAATTTACAATTTTCAGGTCTTTTTCTCCAGCGTCTAATCTGAGCTGTAGTTCCTTTTCGGCTTCCCGTCTTTTAACACGGTCCGCCAACGGTAAGTCCTTACGGAGAAAAACTTCTGAACCCTTTAATTTGTGTCCATTTTCTAAGATTAAGTCGCGTTCGTTTGAGGATTTGAAAACGACTTTGAGTAGTCTAGAATGATTTGGTTTTAGATGCGCTAGATTTCCTAATCTATACACCTTTAGCAAGGTGACTCCGGGGATGTTTTTGGGCATAACTTGGTTGAGTAGTTGTTTTATCAACACAATGTCATGCTCAAAACGAGCTTTCGGTTCTAAGTTGTCACTCTCCTTGACTCTATGGAGAATGACTGATCTGTCGCTGTGATCAGACCTCGGCTTGTCGACCCTTTTGGTGGGGGTATGACTTCCTTTTACGTCATTTTGGCGTTTTTTTCTTACGACCCGTACCCAATCGCCAACGTTCTTTGGAGTGGTAACCACATTCGCGTCAGGCGTACTGTGGATTCCGGAAGAGTCAGGACGACTTGGGAGATCGGGTCATCTTTCGCGCTGGAAACCGATCGAGCCTTGCGGTTTCGGCTTCCTGAAGTTCCCTTCTGGGTACCATTTTTGATACGACGGACAGAAGAGACTTTTTTGCGCGAGTTGCTGGTTGTAACAGTCCTCTTTGGAGGATGTTCTTCCTCCTTAGTAGGGTGTGGGTCGGCAGTTTTTGGACTCACTTGGGCCTGCCTTGTGTCAATCTGCGTGTCGACAGATTGAGTTCCGACTGATGTATCCCGACCGCGCTTGCCGAGACACTTTTTTGCGGCATTTACTATTGAAATGGCCTCGAATAGCAGGCTATTTGCATCCAAACAGCACTGTTGACATAGCCATACACATCCATTTTTACTAAACCGCTTGAAAGCTGCAGGTGTTAGATTCGTGCAAACATCGTGGTACCAACCTTTGCACTCATCGCACTGCATGCCGCTATCAACAGGATATCGACATCCTGGGCGGTGGCAAATACTTTTGTTGCATCTTCCAGTCATTTTAAGATGCGAAAGTGAGTGTTGACTATAAGTAGAAAAAAAAACTATAAACAGTTAGGACCAAAGTACTAACAGACACAATGGAAAAAAAAGGTACTCTGGAGTACCGACGATAAAACTATTTAGGATACCAAAGATGATACTCTAATAGAATACTTTAACTGAAAGAAATTCAATCACAGTATAAAAACAGTAGTCTTGATACGTTAATAACGATCAAAACAATAGAATTTACTCAACGAGGAAAAATACCACTGTCCTTTTTAAATAGCGCGCGCTATTTGCGCCTTGACAAATTTTTCGTGGATAGCATAATTCAGGAAATAATAAAAACCAGACGAATGGATGCAATTACTAATTTGTCACCATATGCTTGATAATTATTAACACGATACAGCTCCGAAAACACCCATAACGAACCTGCAGTAGAACGTAATACGCGCTGTGGAGCAATAATCAACATGCCACCGCAAAAGACAATAAAACCTGTAGTTCAGTATAAGAACATCAACTCTTAATATACTCTCTTATTGACAATGAGTTATAACAAATAGATTGTAATCATTTTAATTTGATCCTAAGTTGAATGTACTGACTAAGTTCAAGCTATGAGAAAGTGCTCCATCTAAGACATTTCATTCTAAAAGTTACACTGTCAAGTTCATATGTCTTATCTGTTGCTATACTCTGTTGGTAATGGTCATGGTAAACCTCCA